ATTATATATTAATATTATATACATATATATATACACATACATATACATATGATTAAGCCCAATCAAACCGGCTGGAGGCAGGCCTTGAGCAATATAGATATTGTGTTTCCCTGAAAATAAGACAGGGTCTTATATTAATTTTTGCTCCAAAAAAAGTATTAGGCCTTATTTTCAGGGGATTTTTTTTTCATGTACAACAATCTACATTTATGCAAACACAGTCCTGTCGTTTTCTTCTGGTTGCTGCACAAGGGTGGAGGGCGGGGCTTCACTTCACTAGAGCTTATTTTTGGGGGGGAAATAAGCCCCAGGGAAAGTTTCACTTCACTGGGGCTTATTTTTGGGTGGGAAATAAGCCCCAGGGAAAATTATATTGTGAGCATCATGAAAAATCATACTAGATTAGGTCTTATTTTCGGTGAAGCAGGGTATGTATGCTCACTTTAATATATATAATTAGATTTTTTTTTAAATATATGGGTGAACTGAACCAAAATGTAGCGATTCTGATAGGAATCCAAAAAAAGGTGTAAGTAACCATGGATTGAGGACTTGTTACTTAATACTGGCCTGGTTTGTGGTGGCCCATATATCTTGCGCTCACCAGGAAAAGAAGCAAACCAGCCATGCTCAAGTCAGATCAAACTGTAGGTCAAATCTCCGTCTGATCACACCCTATGTTACTATACACACAACAGCAAATTCAGAATAGGATACGGGACACGTTGCTCCTTCTCAATCAGGTTGAGTACCGCATGCCTCAATGCTTCCTTTTCCCCTCTCTTTGACAGGTTGAAGCCATCATCCATCCACAATTCATGGCTCACTTACTGTCTCCAGAGAAAAGCCAAGATCCCTTGGATCTGGTAGATGAACTAGTGGAGGAGTTACACCTGACACCCAGCCAGGTAAAAAAAAAAAAACAGTAACAAAGATCTGAGATGTTGGAATCAGTGGGTGTGGTGGTACGTACAGTAGTTGTCTCGGTTTAAGCATCTGGTCCACAAGAACCAGAAACTCGCCATTGTGGCTCCTGCCCTCAGCAAACTATAGCAAATCTTGTACATATTAAGCAGAGGCAGAAGAAGGCGAGAACATATGAAGAAAAGGCTACTCTCTTTGTCTACTGTTTGGAAGCCACTGTTTTACTTGGCAAGACCTTTCTGAGATGGACTCGTAACTCCAGTGTTCACCTAACATTGCTCACTACTCAGATGGACGTGTTGAACTAAAATAACCGACAAGCAGCTCATGGCAAAACTTTCCCTGTATTCCACTCTGCACTCTGGAGGTCATGCTTATAGATTGCTTTTCTCTCTCTGTTTCAGCTGACAGAGAAGAGACTCCTGGCACTGACTGAAGAAGAAAAGAATCCCTCGGTCTACCCCACCTCCCATTCTGGGTCCACACCCTCACAGTCTGAGGAGGAAGATGAGGTCGGTGGCAATGGCAAAGGAGAAGGCCCTTCATGCCAGACCACAAAGAGGCCTTCCGTCAACAAGGGTTTTAGAACAGGTCAGGCAGAATTGCCTCCATCAGCCGGCAGCTCCCCACAAGCGCCACTTTTGCACCCCCAATGCGCAGACAGAAGTTTTCCATCAAAGGATGTCAGAACGTCATCAGGACCCTCTCCTCACCAATGTAATAGCAGTAACACCAAGGACGCAAATCGATTCCCTTTCTTGAAGAACAGAGTGGAGGAAGAAACCCAGAATTCGCAAGCTGGAGGTCACGCCGTTGAAGCCTCTGCTCGTATCCAACACATCAAGATGAAGGCCATTCCTAACGTAACAGGGACCAACCACTTTACTAGGAACTTAACATCGCAAGGAGGAAGTGAGGAAAGACAAGGCATTCCAAGGCCATCTACCATGGAACATTCTAAGCAAAATGGTAGCCAAGGAAGAAAAGCAAAGGGTCAAGAGGTGATCCCTAAGGCCATAGAGCACAGAAGTCATGCTACTACAGGACGGCTCTTTAATAGAACTCAGTTAGTTAGGAATAACCCACCATTAGTCTACAAAAAAGGCAGGAAACAAGATGGTACCCAGCAAGGGGAGGTCAAAGGTTTGAAGAAGACTCAGGCTATCCGGAAAGATGCTTTGAAGGGAATAGATGAGCGACCAGATGTAAACAAAATATTAATAGTGGGCCAGATAGCGGGACAAAGTGCTCAAAAGTTAACTTTGAATGGATGTAGAGAACTAAATGTTGACCATTGTTCATCCAACGTTGAACAGATCAAAGGTCAGTCCCAAATTCAAGACAATAGGGGATCTGAGGACAACTCAAATAAAGCAGAGCTTGGCTGTCAGAATAAGGAGATGACATCTCATTGGGACAGCCCTATAAAACAAGATAGCCAGCAACTTATTCCGTTTGATTGTGGAAAAAAAGATGGCTGCCACAGAGTGGTAGGCCATGATCAATACCAGTTCCAGTCTGTCCAAAAAGTTACAAAATGTAAGTTCACTGTACCTGCAACTGAGATTGAAAATGTCAACCCATGTGGCCAAAAGGTGGTAAGGCAAGGCAGCCCAAAACTGGCCACTTCTAGGTCAGGAAATGAACCGAACGACCAAATAGCGAAAGTCGAATCTCATAATCAGTTACACACTGAGCGGAAACAAACCAAGGCCGTAACCGTGAAGAATAACCGTCCTGCGAAAACCACAAAGGTATCTGCAGATAAACAACCGTTACCAAAACAGTTGACCTTGGTTAGACAAGATGGCCAACCATCAGCTGATCCACCTCGATTGGGAACTGATCCGGCGTGTGTTGAACCCAGCAGGGAAAGTGAGCAACCGTTGACTTCATCTGATCCGAGTGGGATAGGAGTGCTTAAATATAAGCTGTCTGGCAGAGAGTTGGAGCCACTACAAATTTCCACCGTCTCAGTGCTGGAGTCCCCGTCTTCAAGTATCCAGACAGGCCTCAAGACATCCCAGAATTCTCAGCCGCTGCTAATCGATCAGCGCCCAGTCACTCCTTGCATGGAAGACCTCCCGGATGACAAGCAGACTCTAAATCCCACTCTGATTTCTTCAAGCTTTGTCCTTGTGATGGAAGCCAATGGAGGCAGCTGTGGTCCAAGTAGAGACCATACCCCTGGACCTACCAGTCCCAATGTAGTGCCAGCATCCGCACCGCTCATTCCCCAAAAAGCCAGCAGCAGCCATGACAATGAGGAACCCAACCAGGAGGAATCTGAGTGTAGCAACTCTTGCCAATTCCACAGCTCACACCTCGAGATAAAGATCCCGAGTAAGTTGGAAGACGGAAGTGTGCTCCAGAAGGTCAATAAAGAAGAGGAGGAGGAGGATGCAGAGCTGTCCAGCTTCTCCTCCTTGCTTGCCTCTAAGCTCAGCCTCTCACCCTACAATAATCTTCCCCCAATGGATCGGGATCAAGGGGGCACCCAGCCCTCCTTGCCCACAGAAACATGGCAACAAGGGGCTTCCGCCAGGAGAGAGATGACCCACGATGCCACTTCTTTTCCAAACAAACACCTGGAGCCCAAACCATCTGCCCAACATTGTTGCCACAAGAGACGGAGTACTAGCTCAGGTCCTAGGAGGAGTAAGCGTCTTCGCAACCAGTAACGGGTGGCCCCTTTTCAACGGAAATAATCAGCAACCCTGGAAAAGTATTTTCAAGTTCCAATTCTGGCACGTTTTTCTTCCATTACCCAATTATTCCAAAGCTCACCATGGAGGCCCACTGCACAAATACTATAGACGAAAAGAAAGCAGACCTTGTCTGAGTTCACCCTGTTGGGTTTACTGTCGCGACAAACCTTGTGTGGAATGGGATAGATTCATGCCTTTCTTGGCAAATCAAAGGCACATCAAATCACATGTTTGAATTCACGACTTCCACATGTGAGTTTTAAATACTAGCTACACCTAGATCTGGCCATCTAAATAACAAACTCAGCCAGTCCTGTGCCGGTTGGTTTGGAAAGAGGACCTGAAATAAGAAACGGGTTTTAAGGAACTCGGGGAGGAAATGTACAACTTTTTATAAGTTAATTAGAAAACACCAGTTACAAGTCTAAGCGACGAGCACAATTCTTTCTGAGACTATGTAGTTTTCTTCCTTTTTAAGTAAAAAAAAAAAGAAATAAAAGGACATAAACAAATTGGTGCTGTTATTCCATTTAAGCTCCTAATAGCCGGCAGCGGAGATGGAAGGACCTCAGCCTTATAGGATCTACTTTATCCCGGAGGAAGCTTGTGATCCACCTCACAATCCACCCGCTGTACCTTAGACCTTTGTGGTCCACCAAACGGCTCACGAGACACACTCTTTTTGGGGGGTCCTTTTGCTGTTGTGGTTGTATGTTCTTTTAGGCTGCAAAGGTGACTCTCTGAGAGTAGAAGTAAGCGGATGGGAGTACAGGATGACATTTTCTGTTCCCCGTTTTGCACACCCCTAACGCACAAATTGCAAAGGTTGCTTGTTTTTCTTTCGGACGACAACTCTGAGAAACTCCTCCAGCTAGGCAGGCAGCGTCCCGGTCTCTCCTTCTATGGCTGAGTTGAATCCAAACTTCCTGCACAAAAATCTAGGTGCAAAATTTATCTGAAACAAAGCCTTAGGATGTTTGAGGGTGTGGTTTCCATCTGACAGCCTCGGCAGCTTCCACCCACCTTTTCTACCCCTTCCCCTTTGCTGGACCAAACAAGCCACCAGGAACGGCCTCCATTTCAAAACTTCATACATACAGCTTTTTCATTATAGAGATATAGATATTTATTTTATATATAAAATAGCACTTCTTGTATATATTTTACAAAACAGAAAAGGAAATAAAAAGCCACCGTAGCTTGTCCTTCCGTCCCTCGACAAAAAAACCAAACAACACAAAATAAATGAGATCAGGAAACCATAACAAAAATTAAAAAAAAAACTTAAAATAAACGGAGAAGCCCCAATCCCCACCCTTCAAAAAGACTTGCGGCTGTGATTTCCCCGGTTAGAGTTGCCCTGAGATGGGGGTGTCTCTGCTCCCCTCTGCCAAGCCACAGCGGCAGCAAGGGGATGTGAGCAAGCGAGCAGGAGTTGGGGAGGGGGCTTGCGTGTCCTAGGGTGTCGCATGGCTGTGTATTTGTTTCTGTGGGTTCTCTTTTTTTGTTCTTGTTCTTGTTCACTGTATACATATGGCTAAAGAGAGTCCAGAGTTTCAGTCTGCTTTGCTCTTGAGAGGGGCGGCGGCAGGGGCACCGTTAGCACAGGCGGGCGGGAGGCCGGACTTAGGCAAGGAACAGGCGGCCGGGGGGCGCAGGTACGTGCTGAAAAGGCGGGCGTAGTCAGGGTGGCGGAGAGAGAAATCTTGGAAGTCCTCTGAGTAAAAGACAAGAGAGGAAGAGGGGAAAGAAGGAAGGTTAGTGTAGCAAAACTGCATAGGGAGCCCCCAAAAGAAGCCCCCAAACCATCACAGGACAGGCTGCTTCTACTGACACTTTCTACTACAACTCCCATTACCGTCAAGCAATCATAACCAGTCCTAAGGGGTATTTGGAATGAGAATTCAAAAGGCACCAGGCTGCCCTATAGGACAGCACTCTTCAGATACTTAAAAAGTAGTCCTACCTCAAGCAATCATAACCAGTCCTAAGGGGTAATTTGGAATGATAATTCAAAAGACACCAGGCCACCCTATAGGACAGCACTTTTCAGATATTTGAAAAGTAGGAGGGGCAGGATCTGTTCTTGATCATCCCAGAGTGCAAGGTGCATAATGATGGTCTCAAGCTAGAGGAGGCCAGATTTCGGCTGAATACCAGGAAAAAGGTCTTAACAGTTTCAGCAGTATGACCATGGAACCCATGACCACAGGAGATACTGAGGCATTCAAGAGAAATTTAGACAACCGCCTGGGCCGATCTCCTTTGATTTGAATTCCTGCCTTGAGCATGGGGGTGGACTTGATGGCCTTATAGGCCCCTTCTGACTCAATTGTTCTGTGATCCTGTCTTCCTGCCTTTCTAACCACTCATGCCCAGCCCAGCCCACTTCCAAACCCCACCTCCAAAATGTCCTGATTTCGACGTAGGGCACACACTCCAATTAGTTCTATGCATCTGCACCTCTTTTCCATTCCTTCCTAGAATCCAACTGGTTTTCAGCAAAATCCAAGTTTCTGTCCCAACTCAAAAAAGGCTAACTAAATTAATGGGACTTATATAAGGCTTACTTAGTAATGTCTCATTAATTCAATTCATAGTCTTGGTGGGACAAACCATTGGGTTTAGCTTGACGTTTCTGAATATCTTCGGGTCATCCCACCTTCCTCCTCAAATCCTCATTGTCCATGACCTACGCCCAACAACGCCAGCAGCCCTTCCTTACTCATTCTGTGCCCCCTTTGCAGGCGCTCTTACCCAGAGTCAGCCCATCCTGGCTGTGGGTCCCAGTACAGAGTTGGCTGTAGAGTTCAGCCCCATCGGCGGCTGGCGTGCCCAGCAGGAGACGCAAAATGGCGCAGAACCCGTCCTGCTGCAGCCGGTGGTCCCCTCTCCCAGCATGCGTCTCTGAGAACAGCTGGAGGTACGGCGAGGAAGAGACGCATAAGAAACAGAGGTATGAACCCAAAGCTGAATATAAGCTTGCATAATTTGTCTCTGTCCCTAGGAACGATTCAGGCTCTTGCTCCCTATGATCCATGGCCTACCGCTGGCACATGTAACTGACTATCCCCTATTCTTCTTACCCGGTTTCAACAACCCATCGGCTTCTTAGGTCACAAGCCAGCGTATCAACCACTTGTTAATAGAAGGCTGCTAAGGGGTCCTGTTTCCGACTTAAATTTCTTCTGCCGCTGACCTTGGTGCCACATTACTTTCTCGTTGGCTGTTCATTTATTTAAATGATTCATTTCTCCATCTTTCTGCCCGCCACCGCCACCAAAGCAATTTGCGATAGATTAAAACGATGACAAATATTTGGAAAAAAAAATGTAACTTAAAAGCAACAGGTTCCCAAAGCACTCTTTTAAGACCAGATGCAAAACCTTTTTCTGAAAGCCAGCTTGAAAAAAAATAAATCCTAGAGGTCAAAGGTCTTTTGGAACCATACAGATTTAGTTACCCATCTTTCTCCTGAATACAGGATGAATGCAAAATCTTGGAAAAGGAGGGTGAAGGACCCCCCAAAAAAAGTTTGTTTGTCTCATTTATAGTCCACCTTTCCCCCAATAAAGGGACTCAAGACAGCTCACAATGTTAAAAAAATATTAAAACACAATGATACATGAAAACAATATATAATAGCAATTAAAATACTGTACATTAAACGATTAAACACCATTAAAACTTTAAAAACAAACCAGTTAAAAACAGCATCCAGGGATTCAAGATTGTTAAAACCCTTGGGGGGGGTTGTCATCATTCATCCTTCCTTCATGATGAACACAGAAATTCATTGATGTAGTTATGGAAGGGGTAGCCAAATTAATCTGAGCAAGTATTATAGGTGAAAACAAACGTTAAAAAATTTTAAAAACGACAGAAACGTGGTGACACTTTAAATACTAACTTTTATATCTTTTAACGTGAGCTTTTGTGGACAAGTCCATCAGAAATCATGTCTCTTATGCCTGATGACGTGGACTTGTCCACGACAGCTCGCATTAAAACAATAGAAAAGTTAGGGTGTCAGGTGCCACTGAGTTTTTGTCTCTTTTCTTTTCACAGAGATCCATATTTGTTTGGGAGTACCTCCCTCTCCTTCGGTAAGAAAGCACCACCGACCCCTTGCAGCTTTCACCCTGTAGTGCTTGATCCCAAACTGGGGCCAGAAAGACTCGATCTTGGCGGAGGGTCGAATGACTGGCAGGGGACGGCAACATTTAGAATGGAAAAGAGGTCGGTTGCTTAACCCTTCCATGGCTGCTGATATTCCTTGGCAGATGCTATCCGTAGGTAGCTCCCTGGGTTGCACACACCTTGGTTCCTTGCTATGCGTTTGCTACTACAAGAAAAAACACCTGCTAGTATGGGAAAGGCTAAGTGGAGGTGGCATGGGAACGCGATCCAGGTAAACCTACCTCTCGCCTACTCCCTACTCCCCTGCAAACCACACCTTCTGTTTTTGCTATTTTGATGTTTTAGAGGGAGACACAAGTTTCAAGACCGGGTTGATGGTTTATCTCCAGCTTCCTTGTCTATCAACCCCCCACACACACCTTGAGTAGTTAGTTACCTCAAAGGCATGACGGGTCAATTCCCAAGGACGATGTTCCCCCTCTAGTGCTTCCAGTGCCAAGATCACTTCCCGGGTGTCCATGTTGCCATCATCATCCTGGAAACAAATGCATCCAGAGCGATTAAATCCAGCTGTCCTATGACACTCACCTAGATATTCTCTCAGATTATATTTCACTTAAGTAGTTTCACAGTCATGTTCCCCACCCCAAGCTGCTGCTTTGGTGAAGTTTTTGAGAAATCTATGTACAGTAGGAAACCCCTCCCGCCATCCGCAGGATCATGATCCACTGATTCACTTATCCACTGGTTGATAATACTAAATAAAAAACCCCAGAAATACCTGTTTATATGTATTTCCTGTGTGTATTTACCAAACCTGGCCACAAAGGGAAGCCAGAGGCCATGCAATATATGTACATTCGTGCCCTGCTTAACGATTACCCCGCATTACGACGAATCCACTTCACGGCGATGTTTTTGCGATTGCAATTGTGATCGCAAAACAATGTTTTAAATAGTTTTTTTTCACTTTGTGAAGATCGGTTCCTTGCTTCGGGAACCAAGTCTTCGCATTATGACGATCAAAACAGATGATCGTCGGGTTTTCAAAATGGCCACCGGGTGCTCAAAATGGCTCCCCGTTGTGCTTAGGGACGGATTCCTCGCTATACAGGCACCGAAAATGGCCACCATATGGAGGATCTTTGCTGGACGTTGAGTTTTTAGCCCATTGGAACGCATTAACCGGGTTTTAATGCGTTTCAATGAATTTTTTATTTTCGCTTTGCGACGTTTTCGCTTTACAGCGATTTTGCTCGAACGAATTAACGTCATTAAGCGAGGCACCACTGTATAGTGTTCAATACTTCCACGTTTTTCAGCATCCACCAGGTATGTGTGCTTAGAACCCCAACAGATACTGCAGTCCTATAACTGCTTCTCAAATTATCCGAATGGTTCAGTGAGCATGTACCAGGTGTGATGGCACCTCCTGCATCAGATGAGTGAAGACAATGGTTGTGTTGTCTATCCCGGTTCCATGGATAATGCTAACCAATTAGAAAGCAATTCTAATTTTTTCCCTTCAACTTTTTTGTAATTCCTCTTTGGGCAATCCTTCCTATACTGAATACATGGATAAATCCCAGACAGTCGGGGAACACTATGACGATGAATATGTATTTGCACAGCTCTTTCAAAGCAAACTTCTTACCCCTACAATTGAGAGCAATATGCCGTACAAAAGTACGTGCTGCTTCTATACCACCCCATCACACTTAAAGCACTCTCCAGGCAGTTTATAAATTAATCATGTAGGCTACACACTGCTCCCCCCCCCCAAAGCAAGCTAGGTACAGTGGTGCCTCGCTAGACAGTTACCCCGCATGACAGTTTTTTTGCTAGATATTGACTTTTTGCAATTGCTATAGCGATTCGCAAAACAGTGATTCCTATGGGGGAATTTCGCTGGACAATGTTTGGTCCCTGCTTCGCAAACTGGTTTTCGCTAGACAACAATTTTGACAGCTCCCTCCGTGCTCGCAAAACGGGTGTTTTCGGGACCTAAGCTTCGCAAGACAGCGATTTAAACGGTTGATCGGCGGTTCGCAAAGCGGCTTTCCTATGGCCGATCTTCGCTAGACAACGATTCTTCCCCATTGGAACGCATTATACAGGTTTCAATGCATTCCAATAGGGAAATGCTTTTCGCTAGACAATGATTACGCTAAACAGTGATTTCAGTGGAATGGATTATCATCATCTAGCAAGGCACCACTGTAGTCATTTTACCAACCTCAGAAAGATGGACGGCCGAGTCAACCTGAAGCCGGCTACCTGAATTGATCAGGATCAAACCCAGGTCGTGAGCAGAGTCTCAACTGCTGTCCTGCAGTTTAATCACGGCGCCCCACAATTCCCTCTAGATCTCTGTCATCAGCAGTTTTAGCCAACTGGATATAACTAACCCTCAAAAGCAATTTCAAATAATATATTTTTTTAAAGGACTCCTCTCGGTTCAGGTGAGCGCCATTCGCTCTCCTCATTTTAGAAGCCCCTCCTGCTGGTTTTGCCTGCCGGTTTTACCTGCTGAAAATAAGCGCAGAGCCCTTCGGCAGCCTCCGGGCAGGCCAGTCCCAGCCACCGAGCCACTTCCGTGGGCCCAAGCTTCCCTGATCCACCAGCGGGCAGGGGGTCCAGCTGCCATCTGGCTCCCCCTGTGAGGCATCTGAAGAAAGAGATACGTACTTGTAACCACAAGAAAGGAGAAATACTCTTCAGGGGAATTCTCTCACATGCCATTTTGTGGTCAACGCCAGTCCCTATGTGTGGCTTTGTCATGTGTTTCTGTGGTGAATGAAAACACACACACACAAAGACACTAGAGGTGACTCTGGTCCCTCTACAGATTGATCCGTTGCCCCCCTTTTTTTGCAAATATAAGGTACGTGGTGGGGGTACCGCTGTATTTTAGACCTGACTGACACCCTTGAATGTTTCTGAAGGTGCAATTCTGACACTGGAGGTCCAGGAAACAGCCTCGGTGCCATCAACTTTGACCAGTGATAACACATCGATACTATCTTTAGGTTTCAGTGTCGGTCTGGTGTTTGGCACCAGTTTCCACAATTTGGAAAAAAAAAATTCTCCTCCCGCTTCCCGAAATATCACTCCCAGAATGCCTCAGCCAGTGGCCGTTTTCCCCAGGGAATTGTGGGAGTTTCTCCTCCCCCTGTTTTTTTTAAACAATGCCTGCATCTAAGTAGCAGCACTGGGAAGTGTGTCCTGTTTCTACAGGGGGGTTGCAAGGACCCCAGATAAGAAGGCATTCTCCATCCGCTCCGGCAGGGCTCTCTTGACATCCGGTCCGTTTCTCACCTGGCCTTTCGGAGCAGTTTGCCCAATTCCCAGATGCGCGGCTCCAGGGCCACCCTCAGGCGTCCCACGACGGTCACTGGCAGGTTGCCCAGAAACTCACAATCGGTGGCCGGAATCCCCAGGGCCCTGGACGAAGGAGGAAAAGGGAAGAAAGGAGGAGAACGCAGCCTCAACGACAAACCAAGGACAGCCGGGAGCACAGGAGAGACTTCCATTCCTGTCACCTCACAGATTTTATTCCCTCTCTGTCCCTAGTCCTTTGGTCAAGGACTCACGCTAACCGTCGAGGCGCAGCCAGTCTCAACCGTGGGTCACTCCGGCGTTCTTGGGACTGCAACTCCCAGGAACCCCGGCTAGCCCAGCGAATGCGGGACTGCAAAGGAGTTGCAGTCCCAAGAACACCAGGGTTGGCCCGAGGTTGAGAGCGGCTAGAAGCCCAAGTCTCTGGTACAGCTTCCATCCTAAACCAGGAACGAAGAAAGCTGTTGACTTTATATCAAGTGTAGCTCAAAAGGATGAGAGCTTTTTAAACTCTGCCTTGCTCTCTTCTGCCCGTGCAGAAAGGAACAGAGAAATGGCCATTCTGGGCCACGAGTTTGCAGCTGGGCGCCATGAAGCTCCCCTATGGGCCTGTTCTGGTATAAATACAGTGGTGCCTCGCTTGACAATGTTAATTCGTTCCAGCAAAATCGCTGTAGAGCGAAAACGTCATCAAACAAAATAAAAAAAACCCTTTGAAATGCATTGAAAACTGTTCAGTGCGTTCCAATGGGCTGAATCCCTGCTCGTTCAGCGAAGATCCTCCATACGGCAGCCATTTTCTGGTGTCTGTTAAGTGAAAAATCAGTCCTAAAAACAGCAGGGGGCTATTTTCTTCAGCCGGCAGCCATTTTGAAACCTGACAATCAGCTGTTTGCTGATCGTTGTAAAACAAATATCGGTTCCCGAAGCAGGGAACCGATCATCATGAAAAAAAAAACCCATTTAAACTATAATTTTGCGATAGGAACCGATCATCATGAAACAAAAAAACCCACCATTTTTTAAACCATAATTTTGCGATATCAAAAGCAATCGCAAAAACTTCAATGTTAAGCGGATTCATCGTAGAGCGGGGTAATCGTCCAGCGGGGCACGACTGTATTAGGGAACTAGCCCCTTTCTTTGGGCCAGAAGAGGGTAATCGTCCAGCGAGGCACGACTGTATTAGGGAACTGGCCCCTTTCTTTGGGCCAGAAGGCAAGACTGAGGCTTCTTTTTCCTGTCCCTGTGTCTCCAATTCTCTCTAGCTTCAGCAAGACTTGATCAAAGTTATAGGTTGTTTCTGACCCCTGTCAATCAGGTGTTCTATCTATCTCTCTCTCTCTAGGGAAAGCAAAACTATTCACATTCTAGGCAAAAGAGAAACAGATTTTTATTTTTTTGGATCCCGCTGTTTTGGGGGCAAGGGGGCTAAAGCTCTTGATTCGGGGCTAGGTCCAGGCCTCTATGGGGCCCAAGGAGGGACCTCCTCAGTGATGCAGCCTGTTCTTCAGTGACACTTGACCTCATCCACTCAGCCAAAGCTGGACTTCTGCCCAGAAGGAGAACCGAACACCAACAGCTTGGTCATTGGATACGAGCCTGCCTATATAACCAAACTCCTCACCTCTCACACGACATTTCCCACAACCTGCCTTTGGTCCATATTGCCTTCAGTCTACCTCCCTCCCCTAAATCTTTCACAACCTCCCGGCCGGCTGAAAGGCTTCACCCTTGATCTAAAAACTCCCTCCCTTTCCTAAACTCACTTGGCCATCACTTTCTGGACGTTGTTAGCATAGAGGGCGGGGTTCACGGCCTCTTCGGCGCTGGGCTGATACACCGGGAGGAACTGAAAGCAGAAGGAAAACGAAAATTAAGAGCGGGACGAGACAGAAAGGGAGTTCTCGCCAGCATGAGGCACCGTGTGGGGTACAAATCAGGAGGCTCAGATGATGCTACAAAACCCAAGGATAGACCAAGGTGTTTTGCTGCCTGGAGCAACGGGCAAGAGGATTAGCTCTTTGAGATAATTTAGAAGGTATCGGAGAGCCTGTGTGGTCCATCCAGCAAGATCTCCTATGATATGGAGATTGCAACAGGTCCTCAAGAGCAGTGGTCCCCAACCTTGGGCCTCCAGATATTCTTGGACTACAACTCCCAGAAGCATACACTACCACCTCTTCTGACCAGGATTTCTGGGAGTTGAAGTCCAAGAACATCTTGAGGCCCAAGGTTGGGAAGCACTGCTCAAGGGGAACGGTTATGTGGTTGCTGCTGTTGCTTCACTCCAAAAACCACAACCTGAAGTCACTGCCTCCCTGTGCCTAATGCTCAGGCTGGCCCTTACAGATCTCCAGACAAAGTAGAGCAGGAAGCAAGCAGAAGGCTTCAAACAGGAACATGAGATTTGTGGAACACGAATCAGAATCCTGAAATCGGAATCTGCCCAGGTGGCCTAGGGCAAGCGGCACAATTCCAGGGCATCCCCAGAAGAAGGGAATGCATAAACCCCCTTCTGAGTATTCTCTGCCTGGAAAACCCTGAAAAAAGATCGCCGTAAGTCCAAATTGAGACTCGATGGCGCGATTATTGCAAATTTAAAGCAGGAAACCATGCAGGATGCTCAGGAGGGGGCGCTGTGGCACCAGAAAAGAGAAAAGGAAAGGAAATGTTATTGTTTACCTCTACTTCCACAGTAGTGCAGGGCTGAGACGCTGTTAACCAGATGACTTTTAACCTGATGGGGCGAAAAGAGGAAAAAAAGAGGATGGCATTAGCAAGGGATGGGAACTCCACTGGACTTAAGTTGCAGTGGTGACTTGACTCAGACTTAACTCGTTTTTTTTTTTCAGTGACTTGAACACGTGACTCTGAACCCACCATCCCTTTTCTTCTGGGGGGGACTTGTTTTTCATAGGGATTTGGACTTGGGGCTTGGCACTTGTTACCCAAGACTCGGAGTCGAACTCAGAGGACTTGGAACCAAAGATTGGCCCACATCCCTGGCTATAAAGCCCGAGTCTCCCACCGGCCTGCAGAATACAGTGGTGCCCCGCATGACAGTTTTTTCGCTAGACATTGACTCTTTGCAATCGCTATAGCGATTCGCAAAACAGTGATTCCTATGGGGAAATTTTGCTGGACAATGTTTAGTCCCTGCTTCACAAACCGATTTTCGCTAGACGACGATTTTGACAGCTCCCCCCACGCTCACAAAATGGGTGTTTTCGGGACCTAAGCTTCGCAAGACAGCTATTTAAACAGCTGATAGGTGGTTTGTTTGTTTGTTTGTTTGTTTGTTTGTTTGTTTGTTTGTTTATTTATTTATTTATTCATTCATTCATTCATTCATTCATTCATTCATTCATTCATTCATTCCATTTATACCCCGCCTATCTGGTCATATTGACCACTCTAGGTGGCTTACAACACAAAACACAAAATATAAAACCAATATCTAATTAAAAAGGAATTTGTAC